GGCGCAGGGGAGGGCGGCGTGGGGTGGTGGTGAATGTACGGCATTCCCTGCAGTTTCCGAGTCTTAATGTACGGTGTTATATACTATGGCCGGCGGCGGTGACGACTCCTGGCTGCAGGTCAAGTTCATTTTGGGGCTTGTGCACGGCCTTGCCAACGGTGCACCTGTTATGACCCGTGGGTCATGGAAGCACCGCACGCATTTCGGTCCGGCTCTGTGGCCGCCGCAGCCGCCGCCGTCCGCGTCATCTCCGCCTACTGGTGCTGCAGCGACAGCGGCGGCGAGCTCTTCCTCCAGCGCAGCCGCAGATCGGGTTGCTGCTGCTGCTGGCGGTGCTGCTGGCGGTGCTGCTGGCGGTGCTGCTGGCGGTGCTGCTGGCGGTGCTGCTGGCGGTGCTGCTGGCGGTGCTGCTGGCGGTGCTGCTGGCGGTGCTGCTGGTGGTGGTTCCTTAGGTGGTCTCAGCCTGGGTGTCCTCCTATCCAGAGTTGATATCAACCTGAGTGCTGACGTGTTCGACATCGTGCACGACGCCCAGGTGGGCTGGGCTGTCCTGTCTTGGTTTGGTTCATTCGGTTGAGTTCGTTAGGGTCTGGGCAGGTTGAGTTGGGTTGGTTAAGAGTAGGTTAACAGGGTGGGTTGGGATGGGGGGGGGGGTAAGAATGCAGTCATGAAGCGAAGGAAAGCGCCCCGGAACTTGGGTTGATTCTTACAGCTATCACCCCATCCACACACACATATCATTGTGTCTTCATACCGTCGTTTGCATAGTTGCGTTTGCGGGGCACGGTTACCGGATATGCCTTGATGTCCGTCTGTCTGTCCATCTCAAACCAAAACTTGAAAAGCTGGCGTGTGATTTGAATGGTGTGCGACGCCCGTTCACCTTGAGAACGCTGCTCCAGGGCCTTACCCCCCGCTCTCCCCCACATACACACGCACACAGGTGTGCATGGGCGGGGTGTCATGTGTAATGTGATGTTGGGGGTAAATGGCAGTACACTTTCGTGTACGACCCGGATATCAACCGGATGATGGCCCTCTTGCATTTGCCCGCAGGACGCTGACGACCCCTCCGACCTGGTGTGTCTGAGAACCCGGAAACTGCGTTACGGCAACACGTTCAGTTACTCACGGGTGGGTCGGTGGGCAGCTTTGGATATGTATGTGTGTTGTTGATGTTGTTGATGTTGATGTTTTTGTAATTACAGAGGGCTGCCAAGTTTCTATA